CAGGAGCTCATTAGAGCCTCAGGCCGATCACGGGGAAGGGCTAAAGGTCAGGGGCCACTGTAGCCCTGGGAAGGAAGCAGGGCTGGAGGACGGTGTCTCTGCTTCTCCCTGTATTACCCCAGGAGGCTCCAGCTCGGGCCACGGCACCCCCAATTCACTGCTCCCCACTCAGGTTCAAGGCCCTTCCTAGTCTGGCGTCAGTAAACTTGTCCACTTCCTTTTCCCTTTCCCTTTCCCCAAGGGCTTTCCCACATTTGAGCCCTTGCACACTCTGTTCCACTGACTGGAATACCCAGGGATTCAGAGATGAAGGCAAATAAACAACTTCTACCCAGTGGGGTGAGTGCAGTGGCAAAGGGGAGTCTCAACACACCCACCAGAAGGAGTATAGTTCTAGACTGGGCCTGGGGCAGTCAGGGAAAGTTTCACAGCTGGGTTTTGAAGCATAAATAGGAGTTTTCTGAAGGAAAGGACTGGGGAGGGCGTTCTACAGGTGAGCATAGGGGTGAAAGAACATGGAATGGGGCAAGATGAGCCACCCAGCGGGGTCATTCCTGGCACAGAAAGATGAAGGGTACAGAGAGCACTTACCCTCTGAAGAATCACCATCGTCCTTCGTCAGATGCCCCTGCCGCTTGCCTGGTCAGATGCAGTTCTGCAGGGGGAGACCGTACACCCCTGAACAGACCAGCCCTGGCAGGCCTGCGCCCGGCCGGGGGTGCCGGGGCCACTCCCAAAGCCACAGTCTCCCCGGCCTCTGGGGATGCTCCCTGGCTTCTCTCCCTCTGGTCGCAGCCCAGCCTGTGTGCCCCGAGCCTCGGCCACCATCTCCAGCCCTATTGCTCAGGGCACCTGAGCTTGTCTCTAGGTCACTGTTATTCAGAGATTCCAAAGGGCTCCTAGAGAGTAGCAAGTCTACCCCCTAACCTGAACATACAAGCCAAGGCCCAGAGAGGGACCAAGACTTGCCTAAGGTCACACAGCAAAACAGGGTGAGTCCAGCACAAGGGCTTGGTCTTGGTCTTCCAGCTCAGGACTGCCCAGAGAGTGTGAGTGACAGGGACAGCCTGGCCCAGGGGGAGGGTCACAGGCTGAGCCTGCCTACACCCTTCCCCAGCATCCACTGCTATCAGAAGGGAGGCTCTAAGCCCCCAGTCTGGCTTTGAGGCCCAGCGCCATGTGGCTCCTGCGGATGGCTTTGTCTCCCTCCCACCGCTCCCTTCCTTCCCCAGCCCTGCACTTGAACCATCCCAGCACTCACTGTTCCTGCAAAGTGCCAGTCCTCGTCACACCTCCTGGCTTTTGCATACACTGGCTCCTCCACCTGACTGTGGCTAGTAAATTCCCACCAGTGCTCAGTTCACATGGTGCCTCCTCTGGGAAGCCTTCCCTGACCACCCCAAGGCTGCCAAGCATCCTGATATTTCCCTCTATCCAGCCCTAATTATACCTATTATGTCGTCTGGTCGGGGTGCATCCCTATCTCTGACTCCAAAGTGGGAGAGCTAAGCCAGGGCAGGATGTGCTTCTGTCCTTGACTCACACAGCAGGGAGCCAGGCCTGCAGATGACCCCGGAAGGACTCGTGGGGCTGAGTGTGGCGTCTGCAGGCAGCCAGGCCCACAGGCCCTGGAGTGAGGTCCCCCAGCCCCCTGCCTGCCCCCGGGATGAGCATCAATTTTTCACAAGTCCCATTCAGAGGCACCGGGGCATTTGATCCTCTGCCCATGACACTGCCTGACACCCGAGCCCTGACCCCTGCCCTGGAGCTCTGGGCCACAGCGGGCACGCAGTCCTTCTGGGACAAGCACCGGGCCCGGCTGTCTGGCAAGGAAGGGGATGCAACGAAGGCTATGGGAGCTCTATCTGAAGAGGAAGCCGGCTGCCGGGCCGGTGTCCTATGCCAGCACGAACCACCGGAGCCAGGGGCAGAGCCAGGCCTTCCATTAAGATTTGGGGCCTTGGGCAAGGGCATGGAATGGAAGGGCCACCCGTAAGGAAAAACCGTGAGATTGACAGTTTTTTTTCCCTAAAAAAATAAATAGTCCATGTTCAAGTTCGTTGCTTTATGAATTGAGAAGAGGAAACGCAGAACTGTTTCCATCTCTGGGCCACCCCTGCCTGACTGTGCCCCACAGCGGCCCTGGCCGCTGGCACTTCGTGTTCCCAGTTCACGGACGGGAACCCTGAAGCCCAGAGGAAGGAAGTGACTTATCCGAGGCGAGACATAAAGAGAGAGATACAGTGTTGGAGAAGGGCCAGGGGACTCCCTCTCTCGGCCCCGCCCCCCATGGCTGCTCCAACCCTGGGCAGAGACAATCCAAGGGACACCACAGCCCTTGGCTCTTCTCTTCCCCAGGGTACAAACCTCCATTCTTCCAGGCTCAGGAGAGTTTCATTTGGTGGCTGCCGGGGCTGAGCCTCCCAAAGGTGGCAGGAGGCCCCGCTCAGGAGCAAATGGCTGTGGTGGCAGGGGCTCCAGGGTGGTCCAAGCCCAGGACACCCCCTGAAGTCCAGCAAACCCTTCTCCCAGTGCCCAGGACAGGGGAGCCCATGCTTACCTGGGTCCCAGCTGCTGCTCCCAGTGGCCCAATGGCCCGGGTGCAGCTGCCAGCTGCCCAGAGGGCTCGGGAAGCTGGGGTCAAGGGTCTGGGACAATCTGCCGACGCGTGTCGTCTTCTGTCTTGCTCCAAAGCTTGCTCTGGGAGCGTCTCTCCAGGTCCTTTCAGTTTTTCACTATGTGACTCTCTCTCCCGCTCAGTCTCTCTCTTTCTCTCCTGCCCAGGTTGGCTGTCCAGCTGCACTGCTGCCCTCTCTCCCCACTCCAGCGCCTGCCCCCAGGAGGCGGAGTCCGAGGGGCCTCTGAGGTCTGAGTGCCATGACATCAGCTTGCGGGGAGGGCTGTGCAGAGCCCCGGCTGCCCAGAGGGAGGCAGGGCACCGGGGTCTGTCTTGGCTGTTTCATGACCAGCGTGGGACTCCAGCTGGGCCACCGGTCCGGGCCTGGCTGCCTCCTGTCACTTGGAGTAACAGCACCTGCCATCTCAGCTCCGGGCAGGAAACCACATCCTGATCCTGACTTGGTCACTGATTTGCCTAGTCTCGGCCCCTGTGCGCCTTCCGCCAAACCCGTTTTCTCCTCCAGAAATGGCTGTTTGAGAGGAAAGGACCAGGCAGGGCAGGATGTTACAAACCCCACAGTCTGGCCCGTTTCTTCCCCACCCCTGTGTACACACCGCCCTCACCCTGCGCCGCCCCTGAGGGCTCGCTCAGGTGGGTCTCCCGAAGCTCCTCACTCCACCACTGCCGCACAGCCTCTGGGGAGGAGCGGGGAGGAATGTTGTCTAAAGTCATCCAGGAAACTATCTCAGACTGGCTGTCCTGGAGCAACCCTGCACGGAGCAGGGACCCATACGAAGTAAAGTGAAATGCGTGACTTTTAAGGGGTGGGGGGTAAACAAGGAGGAGCAACATGAGATGTTTGTCGTGAGCACTGGCAACGACAGTAACTTCGACAACTCCTGGCTGAGTCCTGGCGCTGCCTCATTACCACCCTTTGCCTGCCCCACCAGTGTGGGCTTCCCCAGCGGCAGCTATGCCTGGGCGGAGGGAGGCGCTCTTTGCAGCCCCAGCCTCAAACGGGCAGGTCTGCTAGGAAAGGACTAGTTCAAAGAGGCTGGGGTGCCCATCCCCCAGGATCCGGTGGTCCAAGTGCGCCACCTGCTGGTCACAGGCATGGCTGCCTGATGGCAACCCTTTAGGAGCAAGGCTGAGTACCCAGCTCTTCCTGGAGAAGTGACAGCAGGGGGACTCAGCCTCTGCAGACCCAGGGCTCCCTGTGACCCAACAGACCTGAACCCTGAATACTCGCGGATGCTGGGGGTGTATCTGGCCAGGTGGCCTTCCCAGGAGTTGCTTCAGAACACAGTCACCACAGAACACCGTCGCCACTGCTGGACTCAGGCTTGCAGACAGCTACCTACCCTCCTCCAATCACCTCTCTTGCTGAGCCAGAATAGGAGGGCAAGTGGCATTAGCCCTGCACAGATGGAAAAACTGAGCCCCGAGAGGCACGTGGTGCCCCAGGCAGGATGCAGGTCTGAGCTGTGAGGGATGAGTGGGGAGTGGAGCCGAGTTGGGGTATGTGGCCATCTCCAGATGCCACAATAGTGACAACGTCCTCGGCACCCACCAGGGGCCAGGCTTTGCATTAAGGTGGGCACAGAAATCATAATGCATTTGTATGAAGAAAATTTAGGAAATGGCCTTAATTCTTTTCTTCACTTCCATGCTAACCCCACCACTGAGTCCTGTCCACTCTGCCTCCAGGACTCAGCCACCCTTGGCTTCTTCACTCAAACTGCCTGCCCTGCCCTCCTCACACCCACCTGGACCCACACACACCCAACTCCTCTGTCTGCGGCCCCTCGTGCAGCTGCTCCTCCACCTCACGATTGGATCAGGGCTGGGCCTTCCTTCCCCCGGCGGGCTCCCACGCCACCCTACCTGTGGGATGTTTGTCCAGATCAGTGTTTCTATCGGTCTTCCCGCTAGTCTGCAGACTGCTCCAGAGGAGGGAGTGCAGCCGGTCCGCTATACCCCTAGTGCCCAGGGTGTGGCTTGGGACGAGGCTAGCTGAGGGAATAACCAAATGACCCCCAGTGACCTCAGCGCACAGACGAGAGGGACAGGCCGCAGGGTCCGGCCCAGCTATTACACCCAAGCCCTCCCTCGTGTGCTCTTGGACCAGAGGACAGCCACCTGGGCCTCAAAAATACTCCTCCCATTATCCTTACTCCCCAGAGGGACAGACAGACACAGCAAGGCGTTTCTGGGATTGTGGTCATGTTTATTCTGTGAACAGGTCTCCCAGACCCCAGGGTGGGCCCTGAGGCCAGTGCAGCCCAGGGCGGGTGGCGTGGACCAGAGGCCCCACCATCTGCAGATGGGGACTGGGCCCTGTGGACTGAACATGCATGGAGCAACTGCCCTCCCACCCACCCTCCAGCCCCGGCCTGGAAGAACTCCAACCTCACCTGCCCCCTCCCCTGGACTTCCTAGGGACCAGGGTTCTCCACACATCCAGGAACCAGCCTGGCCCACACAGAGGGGCAGGAAGCTCGGGCAGGGCTGCAAACAAGTTCTGTTGGGGGGAGGAAGCAGGGCTCAGCCCCAGCGCTGGAGCCCACAGGTCTGCAAGTTGATCCTGGTTCGCTTCAAGGCCCAGGTGGACGTGGCTGAGAAAACACCCACACGCCGGCCCCAGAGGCCCCAAGCTGGCTTACCCAGCCCTCACCTCTCCACCCCAATTCAGTATTCATTTGAAACAGACATTGAAAAGTGATTACATGAGTGTGATGTGTGCACGCACACAGGGATACAGAGAGAGGTTACGGGTTTGCCCTTGTTCAGCACTTCTTACCGAGTGCTGACAAACAGGAATCATGGGCCCCACTTTACAGAAGGGGGAAATTGAGGCACAGGAGGTTTGAATGACTTGCTCCTGGTCTTCGGCAGGGTCCTGGCCCCAGGCCCAGCTTTCCCAGGAGTCCTCTTGCCCTCCTTGTCGTCCAGTTCCTGGCCCTCCTGGGGCCCAGGGCCAGGACACAGGAGCAGAGCCGGCCACGGGGTGAGGAGGCAAAACCAAGGATCCAGGACCTCTGGCTAGGACGCTGGACCAAAGAGCCAGAAAATTCAGGATTCCAAAGGGATTCCTATTCCTGAACCAGCTGAACTCTTCCACTGACTCTGCCTGGTCCGGAGACCTGGGGCAGGTTCACAGCAGCAGGGGGCTGGTGCTGGCTTGTCACACATCCATGTGCCAAACGCCCTCTTCCTGACCCACCTCCGGGCCTCTTCTGAGAAGGGGAGACTCCTCCCTGTCCCTCCCCAGGTGGAATCCAAACAAAATCAGAGGGTAAATAAGAACAAAATAAAATCAGCAGACCACAAGACCTGGAGTTTAAGAAGAAAAAAAAAGATTCACAGGCTTTCAGCTTTCCTTTAAAAACAAAAAAACAAAACAACCCTTGGTTAAAATGGAGAGGTTTAAACCAGAAAGAATATAAAATGTTGAGGACTGAAAGGAACGATTTGGTCCGGGCAGCAGAAAGACAGCCTTGGCTGCATTTTGGGGGGATGTTGGAGAACCCCTGGTCAGGGGACAGATTTACCACACTCCTGCCACATCTAGTGGGTGACCTGACCCTGGTGGGCTTGACACCGGCACCCCGCAGACCCCTCTCCCTGGAAAGCCCAGGTCTGGCAGCAGAAGGGGTCCCACCTGCCGGGGCCCTGGCTGCTAAACTGGGCTCATTCCTCCTGATGTCAGGGCAGTGGAGACAGGAAGACACCCTTCCTTCCATCATGGCCAAAACTTCTCCAGGCCCTTAGACCAGAGGCTGGGGGTGAAACCAGAACCTGGAACGTGAAGGTAGCTGCAGCTCCTCTGGGCATCCGCCTGAGCAGCCTCGGAGCAGAGGTGCAGACCGGGCCTGTGGGCAGGGGCCCGGCCCCACCCAGGGCCTCACGGGCGTCCACTGCTCACTTGGCAAATCTCTGTTGAATAAATACATGGACGGGCGGGGGTGGGATTCGAGAACGAACACGAGTCACCTGCGCAGTCCCCAAATTCCAGCCTGAGCAGGGACCCAGCGAGAGCCAAGGGTCCTTTCAAGGTGGCTAGAAAAGCAGGTGCAGGTGACAGAGAAAGCAATGCCTGGGGCCCTGGGGCAGGCGCAGGAGAGGAGTGTCAAGATGGGGCTCGGGCAGGTGGCAGTTTGTGTGTAAACAAGTGACATCTTGGCACTCTGTCACAGACGCAGGGCCTCAGGGAAGCATTTCGATGAACAGAGCCCCTAGCAGTGGTGACAGTGGGGGGAAGGAGGGCTGTTAAATCTCAGCCGGGGAGACGCCTCCATGAGAAAGGAATGCTTTGGGTCCTCAGGACACAGGCCCGGAGATGGGCAGAGACCTCCCAAGGTCACCGAGCGAGTCAGTGGGAAAGCTGGGAAAAGGACCCCAGTGTCCGGGCTCCCAGCCAGTCCCTGGCTGGGGACATGCAGACGGTGGGTGGACGGCGTCAGACGGCCGTGAGGGAGGCGCTGCTGAGGAGGCTCACGGCGATGGTGCCTGGCAGGTCGCTGGGCTGCCGGCTGTTGCGGTCTCGGAGGTGAAGGGTGTGCAGGGCCTGGAGGTCATCCGGGTCGGCCTTCAGCTGCACCTGGCCCAGGAACTCATCCTTCAGGACCTGGTGGTTCCAGACCTGGGAGGAGACAGAGGGCGGAGGGGGCGCTGGCAGTGGTGGCAGGGCCCAGAGTCCCTCACCTGCACTGCTTCTGTCTCGCCATGGCCCCTGGGCAAGGCCATGCCCTGTCTGGAGCCTCAGGCCACCCCCATGCCTGTCACAGCTCCCTTCCGCGTATACAGTTAACTCAGTAACTATCAGCTCTGCCGTTGACCTTGGGTGACCTTGAAGAGTGGCATACACCCCCCACCCCATTTTCTCCATCTTTAATATAAGGGTATCAGCAACCCCCAAGGGGTCCTCTGGCCCCCATGTCTATGGGTCTGTGATTGGACCCAGTGGGACTGGTGTCGGGAAAACTGGGTAAACAGGGCCTCCCTGTTCATTCACAGACAGTTTCTCACCAAGCGAGATGCTGGCCTGGGCCCGGGGACACAGGGCTCCCTGCCAGCGAGCTCAGAATTGTCCACCAGCCACTCGGCCTGAGAAGAGAGGGACGCCCAGCCCAGGGACCCGGCTTTCTGACCCCTGCCCTCAGGAAGCAGCCGCCCCACCACACGCCATCCTGGTGTGACCTTTCCAGGTGAACCTCAAGGGTGACTTGAGGAACAAATCCCAAGGCTTTGGCACGAAGTCGGCAGAAATGGCCATTGTCTCTGGCTGGAAGACACCCCGCTGGGTCTCAGAATCACACCAGCTAATCCCACTCACCCATCCTACAGAAGGGACTCAGGGCACCGAAAGGGGCAGACAAGATAATTCCCAAGGCCACACCATGCCAGGGACAGAGAGGTGGAACCAGAATCCAGCATTCCCGGGTCCCGTCGCAGGCTCTGCCACCGGGACCAGCCCCTCGGAGTGGGGAGTGGCAGGCTGGGGGCACGAGCAGGCTCACCTGGACAGTGATGGGCCGGCCCGGCTTTTTGCGGTAGAAGATGCCCTTCACGTCGTACTTGGGCGCCGAGGTGCCCTTCTGCACGGCCGAGCGGACTTTGTCCCCCTCACACTTGATGATCACATAAGAGTTAGCCCCTAGAGAGATGGAGGGGGTGATGGGGTGAGGGTGGGGGCTAGGGCAGGGCCTGGGTGGAACCGGTGTCTGGGAAGCGAGGTCCTCTCACGGAGCAGAATCCTGGCCTCACGTATTCAGAGACAGGAGGGGACACACCGGAATCTCCGGCCTCCGGGCCTTTACCGTGTAGTTTCCCTGCCCAGGATCCTTTGGGCCTACTCCAGGTTTCACCGGGCTTCCTACCTCACAGCTCCTCAGCCCAGGGAAAGGCTACTCCGGTCAGGAAGCCCTCCCTCCCCACTGCCTGGCCCTGTGCCTACTGCCCCCCCCCCCACCAGAAGACGTCTAAGAGGAGGAAGCAGAGCATTTTTCTCTATGCACCCGGCTTCGTCCCAGGGCTGGGCCTGAGTGGACGTTAGGCAAGGTTTATTCATTCAGTGATGGAGAGTGGGAGAGCCATGGGTGTCTGCAGCTGTGGAGGGGGAGGATGCATGGGGCGCCCTCCCCGGGGAAGGGGGTGGGGGGCTTTCCCTGAGCAAGCGCACCTGTTGGGGAGTCCTTGAGACCAGCAGCCCTCTGGACGTGCACCTGGGTCACCAGCTGCGGGTAGCCACACAGGGAGCTCCAGCAGGAGCAGGGTGGCTCATCCAGGCGGAGCTCCCTGGTACAGAGCCGAGGACAAAAGGGAGGAGGTTGTGGAGGGGGGTCAGGAAGATGGAAGATGGAGGGTTCAAGCACAGGGGAGGGGAGAAGAGCAGTAGTTAGTCAAGACATTGCTTGTCCTGGGCAAAGCCCCTGGGCTTCCTGCTGCTCTATCCCCACCCAAGGGTGTCCCATCTTTCCCAAGGGAAAAGCAATTTACTGAGCACCTACTATGTGCCAAGCTCTCGGTTGGGATGTTACAGGAACTATTTGTAATCCTCACAAAGCCCTGGAAGGTAGGCGACTATTTTGCCCATTTTACAGATTTGGAAGCATCAGGCTCGGCAGGGGGCGGGACCTGCCCGCACAGCTGGTGAAGCTGGAGGCCCACCGGTTCCACCACACAAGCTGCCTCCCTGCTCTGGGACGGGGGTGGGCGGCACTGACTCCAGGCTGCCCACGCAGGCAGCGGGGTCTGCGCCCTCACAGGACTTAGGGGGCTTCAGCAGTCTGCCTAGCCGGACTTTACCACTGGCTGCAAGGTCTTGGAAAACAACCACAACCTCAATCCCCAATTTGGATCCATAAAATGGAGGGGTTATGCCTCCCAGCCTGGGTTCAAGAAAAGCAAATGAGTGAAATCTTCTTTGTTACTGTGAAGTGCTACGCACACATGAGACAGAGCCTGGGACAAGCGGCGGGCCGGGCGGGGAGAAGGAGATTGGCCCTGGGGTGTGTGCAGCCGGGCTCTACGCCTGGGGCGGACACTGAGCATCGCTGGGCTGCAGACGCGGCCAGCCTGGCGTGGACGCCAGCCCCACCCACCCTGGCCCGGAGTCCGCCGCTACGCACCGGCAGTTGGAGGGCACGTCAGTGAAGACGCGGAGCAGGAACTCGCCAGTGTGGCCGGGCTCGAAGGTGGTGGGGATGATGACGTAGCGCCCCGCGGGCTGGTCGGTGCGTAGGAAGACGCTGCGCGAGTTGATGTAGATGGAGCTGGCGGCTCTGTGCTGCAGGCTGTGCATGCGGTACTGGCGGTTCTCTTCCACCTGCGGGCGCGGGGACCAATCTAGAGCCCGGCGCCACTCCTCCCGCACCCCACACCTCTCCCTCACCACCGAGAAAGAAAGTGATAGAATCCACTCACATGAAATGCCCAGAAGAGGCTGATCTACAGAGACAGAAGCAGATGAGTGTTTGCTGGGGCTGGGGAAGGTCGGGGAGGTGCGTGGGACTGGGTGGTGAGGGATAAAGGGCATGGGGTTCCTTCTGGGGTGTGAAAATGTTCTAACACCGATTGCAGTGATGGTTGCACAACTGTATGAATAATTAAAAGTCACCATACACTTGAAATGACTGAATCATATGGTATGTGAATTATATCTCAATTAAAGATGTTAAAGAGGAGGAGGCAACAGGATTCCCCTGACAACAATGTCTGTGGCGTTTCTGTCGTAACAGAAGCAAGTGTCATATCTGCCCAGGTGACAGCACATGTCCATGAAATGACATCGCCAGCACGTGGGACATGCTGGACAACTGCTAGAACAAAGGCGACGATAAGCTGCAGTCACATCAGTGAAGGTCAGACACGTCGTGTCAAAGCACCAACACAGCAGCACACTGCACACGGACCAGTACGTGACGTGAGCACACTCGTGGCCTGACCAAGCCTGCCGATGCCGGGCTCGCGGCTCAGACTGGCAGCCAGCATCTCCAGGTGGGGTCGCCAGTTCTCGCTGCCTGGATGCCGACCCTGTACAGTGGGCGCCATCCCACACGGGGCGTCACAAGCTGTGGAAGGTACTGGGGTCCCAGGCCAGGAGGGAAACCACTGGTGAGCCTGCCTGGCCCTGCCCAGGGTGCCTCCCCTGTGCCTAGCAATGCCTCCAATTCAGGGAGACCCAGAGCCCTAGGGAGGGGGGTCCTGGAGCCCGGCCCCACCTGCCAGCCATCTTTCCCTTCCCCACCCGCCAGGAGTCCAGGCCTGTGGGTCTGGGGCAGAGATTTCAGGCTGGGGGCTGCCACAGCAGCAATCCCAGGCAGGTCGGGCCCTCTGTCGATACTGCGAACCGAGCCCCTGCCACCGCAGGTCCATGGTCAGCCTCTGTGGCCGGGGTGGCGCGGATGACGCAAGTGACTAGGGTGTTCCTTCCCCAGTGCAGGCGGCCCGGCTGCGGCTCGCCGGCTCCCCTCCCCCGCAGCAGCCCTCACCTTGTAGATGTCGAAGCCAATGACCAGATTCTCGCCCTTGCCGTCCCGACGGGTGGACTGCTTTGGCCGCTGCTGGATGCAGATCAGTACTTCATCTTCTGGCTTCTTGACATCAAAGATGTACTGCAGGTTTGGCCAAGGAAGAGAGACACCACAGTGAGACAATGCTGATGAGGGGCTTGCTGGCGCCCAGAGGCTCAGCCCAGAGCCAGGAGCTTGGGCAGGTCACGCTGCTTCTCTGAGCCTCAGTCCCCTAACTGCAAGATGGGCCTAAAGTGACTACCCTGCACGAGGGGTAGGAGGATTGGATGAGATTATTATGCTCAGCTCAGAGCCCGCATGCAGCCGATGCTCAGTAAAGACACGTGGGGACGATGCAGGTTGCAGGGGCGTGACCGAGGAGGCTGCAGAGAAGAGGCCCCTGTGGAGGAGCCGGCCTGGCCAAGCTCCGCCAGGAGCAACGTTGCGTGTGTGAGAACAAGGGGTCTGAGCCCCCGGCGCAGCCTCCAAATATCCCTGTAGCTTCTGCACAAGACACTTGCCCTCAGAGCCTGTGTCCTCAGTTTTAGCGTCTACGGGTCAGACTGAGAGGTTGGGGACGACCACCCAGACAGGCCATCCAACGCTGCCTGCAGGGACAGGGTGCGCCCGAGGTGCTGCAGGAGCTCGTGGCAGGACAGTGGCGAGGCCCCCGCAGCTGCCTGAGAGGCAGGGCGGGAGCCCCCGAGAGCGCCCACCTGTGGGTTCTGGAAGAAGGTGTCCTTGTGGTTGATGCAGCCCCCACTGCGGTTCTGCCACGGGTCCTCGTGCCGCGTCCAGGCCCCATGCAGCCGGGCCTCCTCCCACGTCTTGTGGATGCTCAGGTAAGACGTGTTGATCAGGCGGCACTTGATGATGTCGGTGAAGTATCGGCACACGTCCTCGAAGGTCATCCTGGGCGTGACAAGGGGCTGAGCCAGGCAGTCCCCCCTGCCGACCCGCGGTCTGCTCCCCCTGCATGCTCTGAACCGTGGCTCACGCCAGAGTGAGCACAGACATGGCACCACACGGACCTTCACGTCTCTTGTGGCCTCAGTTTCCTGCTTTGTAAATTGGAAATGGCTCTAACAGCAGCTGCCCATCTCCCAGAGCTACTGTAGGAACTAATGAATGCAACAAAGGCACGTTGCACAACTCCCGGCAGACAGAAGCAATAGCGAAGGCTGGCTGTTACAAATATTAATAGCATGAAGAGCTAATATGCATAGACCTCTACAGTTCATAAAGCATGTTTCTACCCACTACTTCCAGGCCTGAATAAACGAACAGGTGGCAGGAACCTCTTGGTCAGCTCGCTGAAGTGGTCAGGATGCTGCTGTGGTCACTGTGTACTAGGCACATTTCCAGGAGCTGGGCGGGGAGGGAGATGTGCTCATCCCCCTTCAAGTATGCACAAACAAGAATATGCACATATATGTGCCATATGTAAACACATATGAGAAAGGCCTTAGATAGAAGCCCCTGGCACTGATGAGGGGTTTCTATTATTATGTTTTAGTTCAACTGAGCCCAGAGCCAGACTCAGCACAGTGGATCTCCTCCACAGAAGCCTAGATCCAAGGGGCCCAAGGGACCCCTGACACCTGCAGAAGGGGTCCTCACTGGGGTACCAAGGTCACTGCCATCTGCCTCTGGGCCCGCCTGGGGCCCTCACAGCACCCACCACACACAGGGCACCCAGTACCCCTCCCAGAAGTGGCTGAGTCTCTGAATCAAGTGTCCTGCTGAAGCAGGATGCTGAGCCTGGCACTCAGTCGGGACTAAATGTAGGCTGAGTGAATGCAGGAATGACTGAACGCAGGAATCAATGAATGAATGCGGGGTGAGCGAATGAATGCAGGAATCATTGAACTCTTTAAGTGATGCTGTGGCCGTCTCCTCAGCCTGCCCCACCCATGTGCCTCCCTAAACTTACTCTTCCAAACCCAGGTGTGCACTCTTGCCTCTGGGCTGGGTCTCTGTCCCTGACCACCAACGGATCCTCTGCACCCCAAGTCTCAGCTTAGGAGGCAGCCTGCCCCTCCCCCCGCCCCGAGGCTTCTCCTCTTCCCTATCTCCTCTGCGCCAACAGGTGGCCAGCATGCCCCCTGCCCTCTGGTTGATCCCCACCTGCTGGCATCCTGGCCGAGCTGCTGCAGGGCCCAGCCTGGGTGCTCGAGCAGCCTAGGGTCTCTCAGGTGGGCAGAGGGGACAGTGGAGAGAAAAGGGCTGCCCAACACACCTTACAGAGCAGGAGCCTGCTCAGAGAGACAGCGGCTTGTCCAAGGCCACAGAGCAAATTGATGGTGCAGTATGTGCTACAACCCTGGCTCCTCCCTCCCCATCGGTGACCGCTGCCCAGCGCACAGGAGGTCCTCCCTGAGCCCCGGACGTCCACCTGGGGCAAGAGCACACTCACCAGAACTCGCCATCATCCTGTACAGTCACACCCATCTTCTCCCGCTCACTCTTGCTCACCTTCTGCCACTCCTCTGAGCTGGGGTGTGAGCACAGGGAAAGGGGAAAGCAGAGAGTAAGTGGAGGGCCCCTGCCAGGGCGAGGAGGACGAGGTACACGCAGTACCAGGCCCCCGTCAGCGTGGGTGTGGTTGGGGGCACCCAGGGCCACCCCGGCCCCTAAGAAGCCTTGTCTGCCCACTCCCACAGGTCACCGTGGGCTATCATCACACCTGGGCCTGGAGGTCATGGAACGGGGGACAAGACACTTAGCAGAGGGGGTCTTCTACTGGGGCCTGGTCTCCCTTCACCAGGCTGAGCGTCGCCCCCATTCTCACCCCTGGTGGCCTCCCTCCCTGCGTCCTCCCCCACCCCCATCACTCTCCAGACTGGTCTCTGTGTCCCCTGCTGGAGTCAGCTCATGCCACCTGCAGGCCCTGGCCCACGCTGAATCCACTACCACGCGCCAGCTGCAAAGTCAGTCTCCTGCTAACGTCGTCCAACCCCCAACCTCCTCCAGGAGGCCCACCCTCGCCCTTGCCCAAGTCCTCCTTCCAGCCACCCCCACCCCCCGCCTGAGGTCGCGCTCTGCCTGCACCCCCACCCCAGGCCTCACGTGTCACTCCAGGGCCCGGTCCACTCTCGCTCGCCCCAGGGGTTGCGCAGGCGGATCATATCTAGCTTCTCCGACTTGAAAAAGGCCAGCAGGCCATGGCCCAGGCGCACCTTGCGCACATCGGTGATGGCGTATGCGTGGCCTTTCACCAGGCCACACGCCAGGCGGGCCTCCATGTCCGCCGCAGTCAAGGCCTGTGGAGGACGGGGCTGCTCAGGGGCAGGGCAGGCTTGAGCCGAACCAGGGGCCACAGCGCCCCCTACAGAATAGGGAGAGGATTGCAGCCCCAGTGTTTTGCAAGCTGGGTATTACAATGTTAGCTTGAAATCAACTGTGGTAGGAGAGTTTACACCATGGAAATCAGCAAATGCTACATATCATTCTTCCAGAGAGCCAGTTTATCAACACAGCCCTCAGTCAGCCAAGCCGGGGTTCAAATTCTACCTTCGTTGAGCCCAGCTTTTTCCACTGAAATATGAGCAGTCAGTGAACACTCTTGAAGTGCCCAGGCCTGTGCCAGCGGACAGTAGGGGTTCCCTACCCCCCCGAAACCTTGATGGAGGGATCCTCAGATATACAGAAACTCATCACCCTGATAGGAAAGGGCCAGGAAAGGGGGATGTTGGTCGAACAGGTGGGCAAGGCATTTCATAGCATAGGGAGCTAGGGCAGGGGGCTTGGGGCTTGTGCTGACCAGCACTGGGGAGAGGCCTGCACCCTCCAACTGCTCCCTTCCCCCTGTGGCTGAGGGTCTGGATTTAAGAGCTAACCTGGGCAGGGGCTCTGCCTGGGACACCACAGCCTCCTCCCATCCCTGTTAGGGTTGACAAAGGAGAGCCACTGCTCAGGTCTGGCTCTGTGTGCCCACCTTGATGGAGGCACTGATGAGGCCTCCCCGGCTGTGCACCTTCAACACGCGCTCGAAGAGCGCGTTCCTCTTGGCCTCGTCGCTGGCGTAGTCGCCCTCAGTCAGGTCGATGGGCTCGGAGACGCCACCCGTGAAGTCCACCAGTGCGTCCGCCGTGTTGCCTCCGTCCAGGGCCTGGTAGCAGCCTGCCAGCCTGGGGAGCAACACGGAGAGAATTCCCAGCTCATGCTCCCCAGCTGGTCTAAATCCTTCACATTATAGGGGCTATTTTTGAGACTCAGAGAGGTTAAGCAAACTGCTAGGGTCACACAGCAGGCCACAGCAGGGCCTATACTTGTCCCACTGAGCCAACCGTTTTATCACTCGAATCTCCCTCAGCCGTAGCAGCTGTCCAGACAGCTATCAATTCTTTCAAAACTGTTAAAAGCTCATATGTCTTTTGACACATCAATTTTGGATGAATAACATTATTTGTGATCACGTAAAATGAGAAATCACCTAAATGTCTAACCCTAGGGAATTGGCTTTAAAAACCGACGCTGCACCTCAGTCATTCAGCAGCCAGTGAGCACAGCGCAGCCAAGGAGCTCCTGGGGCCTCTGAGTGAGGGCTTGCTTGTTACACTTAGGAAAGTGATACAACTGGGTTCCCATTGTGTTTAAATGCATTCAGTATAAAAATATTAAGCACCTACTAGGTGCAGCACACGAGGTGCTAGGGACATAGCTGTGGCTCCTTATCAAATGTTAGGAAAAGGGTTGAGGTCTTAAAGGCAAAAAAACACTGAAGTGACTGTAAGACGCGGAATGGGAAACATAACAGAATACCGTTTATGTAAATTGAAACAGCAAGGCAGGTGTTGCGAGGTAACCTACAAACAAACGAACAGAAAGCACCCGAGCATCAAATGTGTGAAAAGAGTTGCCACTGGTGGGGGGATGTGAGGAAAAAGACAGGAAACGGAGACACAGAGTAAGCAGAGGAGGGGCCCGAGGGTCTCCGATGACCCAAAACAGGGCAGGGGAGTGGAGGGGCTGGAAGAACACCCAGGACTACAGGACATGTGTGTTATCAAACGTCTGCAGGATTTTCTAATATTTTTCTAGTTTTGCTGTAACAGACATGCGTGAGTTTTACTATTTAAAAAGTAAATTAGCTGGTGTAGCTCAGTGGATTGAGTGCGGGCCTGCAAAACAAACAACCGAGGTTCGATTCCCAGTCAGGGCACATGCCTGAGTTGCAGGCCAGGTCTCAGCAGGGGACACACGAGAGGCAACCATACACTGATATTTCTCTCCCTCTCTCCTTCCCTTCCCCTCTAAAGATAAATCTTAAAAAATAAATTAAAAAAAAGTAAATTAACAAGCGAACATAAGTGGTGCAGCCACTTGGTGGTTGCTCAACACTGCAAAACTGCAAACATAGAACCGTACAGCCCACAGCCCAGGTGGCTGAACAGTGCCCCCGTGTGTCTGCTCATTCGTGCCCCTGCCGATGGATGCTCTGTGGAATGATGCCTCTGTGAACACCGGTGTGCAAACGTCTGCTCCGGTCTCTGCTTTCTGTTCTTTGGAATATACACCCAGCGGTGAATTGCTGCAGCATGACTGGACCTTGAAAACACTGTGCTCAGTGACATAAGCCAGACTCAGGGGGACAAATATTGTACAATTCCACGTACATGAGCTACCTGGAACTGGCAAACTCAGAGACAGAAAGTAGAATGGAGGTTCCAAGGGACCCGGGACGAGCGAAAGGGAGGGGTGCTGGTTAGCAGGCACAGCACTTGGGCTGAGGACGATGAAAAGACTGGGCATAGAGAGTGGGGTGGGTGCGGCATTGTGAATGTGATCAATGCCACGAAACTCTACACTCAAAGACGGTTAAAATGATGAACAGTATATTTTACCACACATCAAAAATCTGTAATTTAAAAAGAAAGCAAAAATGGGCAAGCCCACGGAGTGGGTCTCCCAAGTGAGAGAAGAGGGGCCTTGACCACTAGGGGGCAGGCTTTGCTTTCTTAGGATTAAAAATGGAATGGGCTAGCAGGGGTGTCCGACCCGCTGCCCAGGATGGCTATAAAGGAGACCCAACACAAATCGTAAATTTACTTAAAAATTTTTTTGTTTATCAGTTTTTGTTAGTGTTTGTGTATTTAATGTGTGGCCCGAGACTACTCTTCTCTCTGTCTCTCTCCCTCTCTTTCTCTCACTCACACACACACACACACACACACACACACACACATACATTGTCCCAGGAGACTGACAACTGGGCCTGGGAGGAGGAGCCAGGCTCCCACAGAGCTGGTGGCCGCTCTCCAACCCTCTGGCCCTCCTGCCCCAGGCCAGCCCCTGTCCTGGGTCCCGGCAGGTCACTCAACCCCAACAGCTCAACTAACTATTGCTCCTGCTCATGCTGGGGACCCAGGGCCGGGTGCAGAGCAGGAGGAGGTGGTCAGCAAACACAGAATGGATGGACGGTCAGACAGGCAGATGGAGAGGTGGACACGGGGGAAGCCAGAGAGCAGGGAAGGGTCCACAGCCAGCCAGGCTCAGAGATTCCATGTCTCCAACAAGGCCTCGGGAGGGCTTGGCAGCTGGGTCTTTGGGAAAGAGCCACAGACCTGAATGTGAGGCCAGCTCAGCCCACAGCGACCGGCAGGAAGCCTTCCCGACCTCGGTCTTCTCAGGTCTACATGGGAGGAGCTATTCCTCCCTCTGCAGGCTGGTTGTGGGGACCTGACAACCAGGTACCCGGAGGCCCTTTGGTCCAGGCCCCCACCCTGCCCAGCGTAGGCTCAGCTGGCCATGCCCTGGGTGCCTGGTCCCTGAGTGCACCATGGCTTTGCACCAGCCCTTGACCTCTCTGTGCCAGGAGTGCTGGCAAGAGGAACCCCCACGTTGAGCCCATCTGCAGCGCCACCTGGGCCTGGCCGCCAGCCCACCTGCCCACCACCGGCACCTACTTGGCATAGGCCTTCTCCACCAGGGCGCACCAGAACTCATTGTGGGAGTTGGAGTGGCAGTAGATGAGCTGGTTGTTGACTGTGGGCAGCCGGTCATCAATGACCACATCCACCCACTCCCCAAAGCGCCAGAAGTGGAAGTGGAAGATGCCCACGTAGGCATCAGGCTTCTCGGGGTCCCACTCCTGCTCCTTCCAGTCTGGGATGACCTGGATGTGAGGAAGAGGATGGGGACACACTGAGGTCACATCTGCTTCCTGAGGAAATAGGAGTGCATGCCTTCAGGAAACCAGAATGGGGAGGAATCCTGGGTTTGTGTCCCATCTCTGCCACCAAGAGCGCAGGACTTGTTTCTCTTCTCTGCCCTGCATGGCTGGAGTCTCCCTCCAGCTCTGTCATTCTGAGACCCTGTGAGCTTCCCCGCTCCCTTCCTCATGCCTCTCACTGCTTCCTCCCCCTCAGAATCATATCATACCCCTCCCAGCTCCTGCCTGGTGAATAGGGCCAAGGTCTCCCTGCCCCCGCCTCCAGCCGGAGACAGAAGCGCCACCACCACAGCCTCCTCCCTCTCCCCACCCACTCAGGCCAATCCTGGCTCCTACATTCCACTAGAACCCGTCTCCTCTTGTCCCCCCCCCCAGCACTCCCTGGCCCAGTGTCCCATCTCCTGGCTGGCCCGGGGACACTAACAGCATCAGCAGCCACACTGCCTCCACCTCAACAGAAGCAGAGTGAGCTTTCTGATCATGTCACTTCCCTGGAAAATAAGGTCCAAAGGCTACAGAGCCACGCCCCCTCCACTACCTCCCAGGCTGGTGTCTCTCCCCAACCCCCAACCCCACCCCTGCTCCTGCTCCAGGCTCTTCCTCTGGTTGGGGACTCCGAGTCTGTTCTTCCTCCAGCTGACTCTCATTTGTCCTTTAAGGTCTACCCACCTCCTACAGGAAGCCCTCCTTGACTCTTCAGACTGGGCCAGCTCCCCTGCCCTTGAGTCTCATGGCCTCTGGTACTTCTCTGAGACACTAATTCCAGTTATAATTAAACAGGTATGGGACATTGTGAACAGCTCTGACACAATTGCTGGAATGTCAGCTCTCTGAAGGCAGGAACACATGGGTCTTAGTCACTGCCATCTGCCAGCACCAAGCCCAGGGCCTGGCCCAGAGAGGGTGCTTAATGAACACGTGCTGGCCGAGTGAATACGTTCACAGGCATCACACGGGGCTCGAACAACAGTTACTATTATGGACCATCTTGGAAATGTCAGGGAGCACACCTGTGACTGCCATGGGTGCTGTCAATTTAATTTGCACAATAAACTCATGAGCAGATTACTATTATCCATCCCTACTTTGTAGATTAAAAAAAATCAAGCCTCAGAGAGGGCAAGTAACTTGTCCAGGGTCACACAGCTAGAACACACACACACATTCTTCGTCAGCGAGCACCGCTCTTTGCATAGCCCCATGCGGACACTGGGGACCCAGACGAATCAGACGTGGCCCCCTGCCCTCCGAAGACTGCCAGTCTGGGGAGAGGCAGGGCCACAGGGAGCATTTGAGCCTTGGAGAGAAGGGGGTGAAGGGCCCGACCTGAGGGGCCAGCAGCAGCTTCTGAGCGAGTGTCCTGAGAGCTGGCGGTGAGTGGCCCTGAGCAAATAAGGGCAAACAGAGGCGACTTGGGCATCAGGAGGTGGGCAGGGGAGGGAAAACCCTTCACTCTGCCGAGTCAGGGGGGACTGCAGGGCCTGTCACACGTGAGAGAAGCGGGGCTGGGCAGCCCCGGGACCAGGGGCGGCTCCTCTGGAAGAGCACCACTCCCAGGAATGCGTGGCGGACGTGCAGGCCTCTGGACTGAGGAACCCAGTGAACATCAGGAGCTTGCAAACTCCGGGACCCAGGCCAGCCTGGACCCAGAGGCCAAAAGCTGTTCCCCAGGCCCCACGCTCATTAAAGATGTTTTTGTTTGCACGCCTTGTACAGTAAACGGGGGTGTCGGCAAAGAGAGAAGCTCCCTAGCGGGACATTCACGACCGAGAAAATGAAAACGGTAAGCACAGTGAGAGGGGCCGCAGCCGCCGACAGGACCCGCCAGCTGCCAGGTGCAGGGCCAGCCCGTCCATCCCATTGCCCTGACCCTCGCTGCTCTCTTTCGGGCCAATGCGATGGCAATTGCTGGCAGAGGCTGCCCAAGGGCACAGTGAGGGAGGCAGGGTTCATGCCCAGGGCTTCAGAGATTGGCGCAGCATCTGGAACCCCACCAGGGCTTGATGTTGGCTGGTCCCTTCCCCCACCCCTTCCTCACCTCCCTTTCCAGGCAACTCTATGTCCTTTCTAAGTAAAAACTCCCAGACCAGCCTCTACCCTGACCCCCAGCACTCTCTCCTGCTTTGCTCTCAGGACAGAAAGTTGTATCAAAAATGGGGCACATGCAGGTGGGGTTCTCATCCCCACTACACAGAGGGGAAGGCTGAGGTCCACAGGGGAGCAAGGAGCTGCGCAAGGGCACCGAGCGACGGGGAGTCCAAAGCGGAGAACACAGGCCTGGCCGCTGCACCTTTGTCAGCTCCTCCCGGCTCTGAAAGCCCTGAACTGCCTGGGAATGGACGAGGGCACAGGAAAGGGGGCGCCGAGGAGAAGGGGAAGAAAAGCCCTCGCAGGGCACTGGGAGGGCCTTCTGAGGCTGTGGGAGGACCATTAGCCAAACCCAGGGCTTGGCGCTGAGCCCTCTGTGGTTCAAGAATCATCTAATAAGGCTCCAGGGCCCAGAGATCCCGAGTCAGGAATCCTCGTGGGCCTCGCTTCCCCCTCCTGCACCACCGCCCTGGGCGAGGCAGGGGGCGGTGGGCCCCAGGAGGGCCCCTCTGCTGCCCGCAGGCACCAAGCAACAGGGAAAAGATTTTCCGGGAAGAAGTGCTTTGCGGGCACACAAACTCGCTCCCTTTCCCACAGCAGCTGGTCCTGCCGGAAATCTAGGAAGCAATCAAAGCCCCGGGGCCGCCTCAGAGGATGCAGGACCAGCTTGAATCTGGGGCTCCCGATGGCCAACGCAGGCCAATCCGGGCAGCGGTGAGGATGACAACTTCGATGGATGAAAACACTTGGGGTGAATTCGAATCTGTGAGATCCAGACCAGACACAAATGATGAGTCACTGCTGGCGGACGGTGGGAAACCAGCTCACTGTTGTGAAACTGGAAAGTTAAGGGGAAGAAAGGAGCATTTATCTTGCTGGTTCTACACAGATTGTACCGAGAGTCACCAAATAGCAGGTGAAGGGAGGTTTGTATCTGGAGACGAATGCCAGCTAAGAAATGAGGGAGGAATTAGAGCATTAGGCTCCCACTCTTTCGCAACCACTGGTGAATAATGCATTTATGAAATCATGGCTCTGAGCCCTCTGTGGTTTAAGGAGCCAGGAAAAAAAGAGAGGAAAACATCACGAAAAGAGAGAAAAACAGACATTACATGCCTCCTGAGAGAACATCGCCTCTGAAGCAGTTGTGCCAAGTAAAATTTGAGCCTGAGTCTCCTGAGCTAAAGCCTGGCTTACAGGAACGCCAGGGCCCCGGAACGCGGTAAATGACAGCAGGAAGATAAAGCCCGCAAACGCAGATGCAGCAACGCCCCCTCATCCTCGCGGGATACGTTCCAAGGCTCCCACTGAACGTCTGAGACTGCAGACCCCTACCCACACTGTTTTCCCCTGTACATACATACACACCTAGGATACATCTTAACTTATAAATCAGGCACAGTAAGATATTAACTTAGCAGAAGTTTATACTTAGTAAATATAAAATATAGCCCTGACTGGTGTGGCCCCATGGGCTGGGCGTCCTCTCACAAAGCGAAGGGTCCCTGGTTCGATTCCTGGTCACAGCACATGCCTGGGCTGTGGGTTTGGTCCCCGATTCAGGCATGTGAGAGAGGCAGTCGACTGATGTTTCTCTCCCTCTCTTTCTCCCTCCCTTCCCCTCTGTCTAAAAGTAAATAAGTATATTTTTACCATATAGTTTTCCCTGCACGTGCACACCTAGGATAAAGTTCCATTTACACATTAGGCACAGCACGGGACAAGCACGAGGACACGGGGACAGTTGATTTGGTGGCGGAGACGCGCACTGAGCGACTAACAGACCGTAGCCCGAGAAGCGCGGGTACGCGGCACAAAGGGACGAGTCACAGCCTGGCGGGACGGACTCGGACAGCACACGGTTCCACCACGCTGCTCGGAGCAACCCATGATTTAAAACATACAAACTGTTTATTTCCGGAACGTTCCACTTAATACTTACGGACCGCAGTTGACCACAGGTGACTCAGACCACAGGTGACTGAGCCCACAGGAGACCAGTGCCCCGAGATCCGGGGAACTGCTGCCGTCAGAGGCCGCACGGATGGCCGCTTCTTCAGCAAACAGATTGCAAGGGACAGATGACAACGTGGAACCAAACAACCGTAGTTATTTGGTTTGGGCCTCGGTTGCACAAACAAACTGTCCAACACACTCATGGCACAAATTGTGAACCAGAACATGGACTGGGAGTTTGCTATTAAAAATCAGTGTAAAATTATTTTAGTTGCCTGATGGCAGTGATTTCCAACCTTTTTCCTCTCATGGCACATAAACTACTAAAATTCTGCAGCACATCAAAAGATGTAGCTTTTTTTTTGCCAATCTGACAAAAATAGGTATGATTTTGATTCGTTCACACTGGATGGCTGTTGTCATTTTTTCACTTGACAAGTCCGAGGGAAAAGAGGTCAGTGCCCCCAACTACAGAAACAGTACCACATGTTTTTAAAACCCGACTATTGAAAAGCCGCTGTGTTGTGACATTACGGTCAGGGATTTTCGTTTGTTCGGAACAAATCCTTGTCATTCAGAAATGCATCCAGAAATACGATGGTATGTCGCCTGGCGGGGCGGGGGAGGCGGGAAAGGAGGCGGCCGAGCGTGGACAGCTGCTGGAGCAGAGGGATGGGCCCACGGTGCCCATCAGGCTGTCTCTCTCCTCCTGGCGTCTGCAGCGGAGACGCCCCATCACCAGGGACACGGGCTTCACGCCGGCCCTCATAGCCTCATGGGACGGGTCTGCTGACTGTCCAGCTGACCCTGGACACTGCCACCTTAGGCCCCACAGCAGCCACCTCGAGGTGGCGATGCATTTGGCCACCTCAGCTAGGCACCCGTGGCTCCCGCCGGGGACCCACCTGCTTCTGGTCCCTTAGGGGATGGGCTGCAGGGGCCTCCTGACCCCACACTCCCCTCAGACACCACTGGGCGGCTCCGGCTCCTTCCCTACTCACTGAGGGAGCTGGTGGAGGGCCGGGCCGTGTCTCCCTCACGCCCAAATCCCCAGCGCCAGAGCTGGCTGAGTCTCTCTGGGAGGATGACCCCCAAGCTGACCGGTGACCTTGTATATGCTAGCGGACACCACGTCACCAACTGGGGTGTGTGGCAGGGATGTAAGTTTTGACCAGACCACCTTTCCAGTGTCCACATCTACTGACCCTTCTGGCAAGACTGGTGTGAGAACTAAGGTGGATCCTGATCTTGGAGGCACTGCAGAAGTTGTGGGGGGCTGTGCACACCTGAGGGGTCACCCCTGTCGGTGGACGAAGTGTGTGGTGCACCCACACACCATCCCCAACCTCGGGGCTGGAGGGAGCTGAGAGACCCAGCTGACCTCCCTCCCACGGGGAGGAAGGGGAACCTCCACAACAGCCCCCAGTGCAGATGGGAAAAGTGAGGCCTGAGGGGTCGAGGCGCCCCCTTGCATTGCCCAGGCAGTGAGGTAAGGATTGTGTGGGATTTGGAGTCCCCCCTCCTACTGCACGTCCAGGGGACCCCGTTAACCATGACTCAGTGCAGAATCACTCAGAAAGCTTCGGACCCCACTAATGAGTGCAACACAGCGCCCCCTGGTGTTCCAGGCACCTGGTGCGCCCCTGGGATTGTCCCTGGGGGACTCCCACTGAGACCCAAGTGCCAGGGCTCCCATCCTGCTGGGACAGGGGCTCACCTGGGCTCTACCAGGCGTGTGACAGGGCTCTGGGGAGCACTCCGGGGTGGGGAACAGGGGTGTGAGACCTGGCTGGGGGGAGCATTTGGAGCAGGAGTCATTTGCAAGCAAAACCCCAGGTGTGGGCTCTGAAGCAGGGTCCGACCTCGGCCTCCGGGAAGAAGCCAGCCTGGCCGAAGACTGGGCGCCCAGGCAGGGTGGGGCATCGCCTCTGCCCACCCCAGGGAGCCAGGGTCACAGAGTCAAAGGTCCCCCTGCCCAGCGCCAGGTCCACACACCCCTCTGCGATTCGGGGCACGCTGCTTCCGCCTTTGTGTCTGTCTCCGTCCCCTAACCGAGCGAGCTAGAGATGACGAGGGAACAGAGCTCTGAAGAAGGCCCAGCGGGGCACTGCGGCCATGTGGCAACATCAGTCTTTTCTGGTCGGCAGGACGAGGTTGGGGAGGACTTCGCAGAAGCGGGGTGTCCCCTCTAGAGCCTGAGACTGCAGGAGGGTCAGGAGCCGCCCAGGGACAGGCAGCAAATCGGTGACAAAGGCCAGATGAAACCTGGGGACAGGCTTGACCCCCACCCCACCCCTTGGCTACTCCCGTCCAGCGGCCCAGCCACAGGCACAGTGGCGCAGGGCCTGGTGTACCCCCCATTTCCCCCCGGGCCCCACCTACCGAAGACCAGAGGGCTCCTCCCCACGCCCTCAGCGTGGCTCTCTGCACACCCCACACAGAGGCTGGTCTGGGTACCCTGGAGAAAGCCCTGCTGGGGTGCTGGTCCCTGGATGGGTGGCAGGAGACCTGGTGCTAAACTCCTTCCTACTGTCTGACCTTGGGGTCAACCCATAAAGCAGGAGGAGGAGGAGTGGGGAGAAAGCCGGGAAGGGTGCTCTGGGCTGTCAGAGCTCCTGAACGGGAGGGAGTGACTCGCGGTGAGAGACTGCACACCACCCAGGAAGGGAGGGGCACACAGACTTTATTGGGGCCACACAGCGGGCACGGCAGAGGCACTCACACCCCTGCACGGGGCAGCCAGTCAGCACGAGGGGGTCCCCAGAGCCGCAGGGAGAGGCCGAGCGAAGAGGCAGAGGGCCCAGCCTCCAGGCAAGTCCGTGGAGAAGCCAGGCAGGCAACGCAGGGGCTGTGAGCACGTCCTGGAAGAGGCCAGGCTGCGAGTTAGAGGACCGTCGCCCACACCACTGCCAGTCTCCCGCCTAAAGAACCCAGACCCCCACACTCACTCTGCCTGCACACTTCCAAAGTGGGGACGCGCCCTCCCAGCAGCCTCGGCCAGCGGGGGAGGCTCTGGCCCTTCGACTCTCAGTGCATCTGTTCCCAGGGCCCTGTGGCCCCCAATGGCTTTGCTTCATGAGGGAAAGGTCATGGGCACACCCGGGCCCCAAACCAAGGCTGGCCTTGAGAGAGGGTGTTGGGGGCACTTCCTGAGGTGCCCTCAGCCGATGCCAGGCAGGTCGCGCCCCTCCTTCCAAGGGGGCTCGCTGGGTCTGCGCGGTGTGAAGCAGGGTGAGGCTCGGGGAGCAGAACTGCGTCTGTGGATAACCTTGTCGCAGCCTCCTGTTTGGTGGGTGGGCTGGGCCGGGGGGCAGCCTGTCACAGCAGGCTGCTGCCTCCAGTCCACTTCAGCCACCACAACTGCCCCACCAGGCCACCCCTACCGCCTCCACTCCACTGAAGATGCCAGAGATGCCACAACAGATGGGACACCCGAGGACCTGCTGTCCCAGCTCCAGAGCTCGGGACCGCTCCATCCAGCCCCACCCCAGGCAGAGGGGAGCCCCTGCGCCACACTGTTCCTGTCACTGCACAGACCTCAGAACCTCCCAGCTCAGGAAGCCCCTCCCCAAGGTCATCCTGACCAAGCCCCCACAGCGGGCTGCTCGTGAACCAGCTGGGCACCTATGTAGCAGATCATCTAAAATCGGGTTTGTCCACAGGGGAGGCAGGGACTCCGGAATGTGTCCACATGAATACGGCGTGCTCTCCCTCAGTGCACACGTGCATGTATGTACACACAGATGCCTCTCCGTGTGACGTTTCCATGTCCCATTCACCTCGCCCCTCCTGAAGTCATTCTCAGAAGGACAAGAGACGGCTGCATAGCCTCCGACATGCCAGCCACTCCTCACTGCCCACACCAACTCCCGCGGCCACCCTGCCCACTGTCCTGAGGGCCCCCAAGCCATCCTGGGACCACCCAGGCCCGTGCCAGGAACAGCGCCTTCCTGGATGTGGCTGGACAGACAGACAGCCAGTGCCTGTTTTGCTGGCTTCCCCAGAGGCCGCCCTGCTACCTCCCACTCCCCGTCCCCAGAGGAAGCCCGATGGCTGGTTCTTTGGATCTCTCTCTCTCTCTCTCTGTGTTTCTCCCTTGGTCTCCCTCAGTCTCTCTCTCCCAACAAGGAGGCACAGCAGAGGCAGATGCCTGTGGACCCTCCATTTTCCTGCACGAGCCCCGACCTGGCCTCTGTGGTCTACAGCAACAGCAGCGGCAGCCAGTTCCGCTTCTAGGCTACAAAGCCTTTGCTTCTTCCTCCCTAAGCAGGAGCACCAGCACCACGGAGAGGAGCGCAGGAAGGACACAGGCTTGGGGGAGCCTGGCCAAGCTGGGTGCAGGAGGGAAACGAGGAAAATGTCCCCAAATACACAGGTGGGGGCAGGGGTCATGGGGAGGGCGCAGCAGTGAGCGGCTGCCATCAGAGCTGGTTAAAGACCACGGAGGCCTTGAGGTCGGAGGGCTCCACGCCCTCGCTGAAGGTGATGAGGAAGTACATGACCTTGCGGATCTTGGCCAGGTCAGACAGGCGCTCCCCGAACTCCAGGGCGTCGGCCTCGTTCCAGTCCATGGCGTCCGAGTCCTCCTTGCGCCAGAAGATGGCGGCAGGGTCCAGCAGCTGGCGCGTCATGAGGTTGGTGAGGTCGGGAGTCCAGTTCTGGGAGGTGCCCGTGATGGTGACCTTGCCTGGCTTGTCCAGCACGACATCCCAGCGGTCGAACTGCAGCTTCTGCTGCTGGGTGAAGTCGAGGCGGTACACGGACTCGGCCGGCCGCAGCAGCTTCTCGCCGTCCTGGCGCTTCTCCCCGCGCTGCTTCAGGGTCTCCACGCGCAGCCGCATCTGCTTGGTCAGGTCCTGGTCCAGGACCAGCGGCATGCTGAGCTGCGGCTGCTTCGGCCCGTCCTCTGCCATGGCCCAGGTGCTGCTGCTGCGGCTGCTGCGGCCTGTGCGTCGTCTGGGAGCAGAGTGGGTTGGGGCCTCACCGCCCAGGCAAGAGGCCACCAAAGAGGGGCTCCGCCCACCCTGGCGCCTCCCCGCCCCTCTTGGCCACTGGCCCTTCCCAGCTCCTCCCCGGCCTCCAAACTGGTGTGTATGACTGGGCGTCCCCCAGCGCCTCCTCTCCACTCCTCGCAAAGGTGGTGACGGGGCTCTGCAGGCAACCAGAGCATGACAGGCCCCCCGGGGACCGGATCGCTGATGTGGACTGCTGTGGCAACCACCTTGACTACCGCAGAAGGGCTGGCAGCCAGTTTGTTTGTGAAGAAGGGAGCACGGTGTCAGGGCAGTGAGATGGGAGGCAGGTGGGGCGGGTGCTTGCGGGAGGAGTGCCAGAAGAGCCTGGAAGACCCCCTGGCAGGGGCGCGGTGGGGAACAGGCACCAGCGGGGCCCCCTGATCTGAGCCTTAAAGTCACCCAGGCCAAACCTAGGAGCAGCCCTTGACTCCCACAGCCCCCAGCCCTCCACACCCCAACCCCAAGGCCTGTCAATTCTGTCTCCGGGGCACCCCCCCCCCCCACTGCCAGGGCCCCGGCCCAGCCACCACATGTCTCTCAGCTACACGGTGTTCTGGAGCTTCAGGGAGCATCAGGACCACTGCAGGACCTGAAAACACCACCTGCAGGCCGCGCCCCCAGAGTTTCTGATGTACGGAGCGCTGGTGCGGCCACGGCCCCCTGCTCAGCCACCAGACGGCGGAAGAGGGCCCACCGGGCGTGGACACAGAATGACGCTCTAAACTTGCACACGTGATTGCAAAAATGTGTGTTTAAAAGCAAAACAAACACCTCTTTAACCCCAAATAGCAGAAAGACTGGGAGGAACTAGAGAAAACCCTTAACACTGGCTGTTTCTGGGTGAAGAAGACCTTCAGTAACTTGGCACTTTTTCAAATCTTCTGTCCCCAGCACCCAGAATGGTGCTGGAGCACGGCTGGCGTTCAGCTGACCAGTGGTGGATGAACTGACGGACGCGACCTGGCTGCGCACCACAGGGGCCAGGTGGGATGGCGAGCTTTTAAATGGAACCGAAACTCAGCCTGGCCCTGCTGCCAGGTGCTCGGTCCTGTGACTGCCCGCCCCCCAACACTCGCTCCCTGGCACCCAGGCACCCCCGGGACTCTGCTCTCACTTCTGCTCCTACGGCCAGGGTCACAGTGGGCTCCTCTGGGCTGGGGCGCCCCGGGGCCCCCATGCCCGAGGGGCGCCAGGTCCTGGGGGAGATGAACTCCTCCGGCTCAGACCAGGCCAGGCCTGACGGCAAATGCTGTAGCCCACAGTCACAGCCCGATTTCTGGTCCACCCCACGTCTACTGCCCTGGCCCAGGGAATGTACAGTCAAGTTGGGGGGAACATCATGTCCCCACAGGGGATCCCGTACTGGGGGCGGCCTGCTGCCAAGGCGTGACTGGTAGAACAGGGAAACAGGTGGGAGCCCAGAGGATGGGCAGCGAGGGGGGTTTAACACATGCAAACTGCCCCTATTCTTTGGTCTTGCCCTCCCCCCAACACACATAGGCTCCTTTAATTGTCCCACAACCCCGTGGACTGGAAAGGTCAAGTTTACACTGAGGCCAAGAGAAGAAACATGACCTGCTCAAAGTCATGTGACTGGCAAGGGACCCAGTCAGAACGAGACCCAGGTCTGGCTGGCTTCAAACCACGGTCCCCAGGCTACATCACGAACTGAGACCAAGACCGCGCTGCCCAGAGAACGGCGCATGTGCGGCAGGGGCGCAGTATGCCCACGTCTGAGGCTCAGCATGCAGAGTGAGGCCGGTCGGGCAGCAGGGGTGCAGGCAGGCTGAGTACCTCCATTTCGTGGAGAGAACAGGGCAGGGTGGGGCAGGGGAGGCCCTGCAGGGCAGCAGGCCCCGGAGGTGAAGGGTGACAACAAACAGGGCCCAGCCAGCAGGGACCGGGAGGGAGGGGAGGCACATAACGAGCTCCCTGGGGCTGCATCTCTCCACGCAGGACCCCGGGGGCTGTCACCACAGCAGCACCCGGAGCAGAGTGCAATTAGTCTGGAGCACCCCACCCTGCCGCAGGCTCCTGGGGACACAAGTGTCCAGAGACCAGCCTCCTGACCCTCAAAGCCTCCAGCCAGGCCTGGTGCCCTAACACCACTCTGCAGGAGGAGCCGCCAGCCCCTGCGGGTTCTGGGCGCTGTTATCCCCTAATTGGATAAGGGGCTGCACCGGGGCCCAGGGAGGAGCCCACTGAGGCTCCTCCCCACAAATGACCAGACAGCCCACCCCCAGGAGGGGACAGCACAGGTCAGGCTCTGTCCCCACCAAAGGCCCCTGGACCCCGACAGCAACAAGGACAGCTGTGGGTCTCCTGGCGGGTAGCAGGGCCTGACAGTTTAGAAGGGGCTCCGTTCTCAAAACTTTCTTGAGCCTTCTCTACGCTGGGCTCCTGGGAGCCCAGCAGGGAGATAAAAGCTGGCCTAGCTCTACCCATGGGGAACGCACCCTGGGAGCAGAGACCACAGGTAAACACACAGTTCCAGGGCAGGGTGGGAGGTGTGGGGCTGACCCTGCGGGACTCCCGTGGGCCACCCCCACCCCCAGACTGAGTCCCGATGGAGCTGAGGGTGGGGTTCAGAGGCAGGGGAACCCTGTTCTGAGCTCAGAAAAGGTGGTCAGGGCCTGGAGGACTGCCCTACACTCAGGGAACAGTGCCAGGCCTGACCCTCTCCCAGCCGTGAGGCCGATGAGCACAGCGGTCCCACATGTGGCTCGCTGAGGCCCTCCCGCCTCCGACACCCCAACAGTGCACATGCCTGTGGGCTGCAGCAGCTACCCTGTCCCTGCAGGACCATCAGGGGCCAGGCCCTGGGGATCCCCACGCAGGGTGGGGCGGCTTTGAGAAGTCACACTCCACTCAGAAGACTGGACAGCAGGGCCCTACAGAGTCCCGCCTCGGCTGAAGGCATGGCTCCCCCCAGTGGCCGACGGGCGTCTCAGGATGAGAACAAACTCGCTCTGCTCTGTGTCCTGCTCACCTAGGAGTTCCCACAAAACCTGTGACTGTTAATTGTCACAACTCTGGTAAGGTAGCTCCATTCACAGAGCACTGCCTGAGCCCCTTTAAGTACAGCATTTAGCTTCACCCTCGCAGCTCCCCAAGAGGGAGCTACCCTGACGTCCTGATTTTTCACATGAGGGCATTTATAAAGCTACCGAACGGGGAACCTGTAACATTGAGATGCCTGGTGCTCTTGAGCCCAGCTGCCTGTCCCTACAGGAAGATCAGGATGGGCAGGGAAGAACAGAAAGAGTCAATGACTTGTATCTGCTGGCATGGGAACCCAGGATGCAATTCCTGTTGATTCTTTACACAGCACCAGTCCAACCTCTGCAGCAGCTTCCCCATTTCCGCAGGTCTGATTTAAGGGCTGCACTCCCGACTGCTGCCACAAGAGGGCGAAGTGTCAGGACCAGTGCCCATTCTTTCCAACCTAAATCCTTTGCTGCTGGTCCAGAACAGCAGCAGTTTGGAACCGGGAATCATGGATTGCTCCCACTGAACAACTCAGAAAATGAACTAGGCCCCGAGGAGGACAAGGACTGGCCCTGTCATACAATAGGTAACCGGCAAGGGTCTCCTGAGCCCCAGTAGTGGTCTCTCCACACTGCACACCATTCAGGCAGCTTCCACTTTCCCGAAGTACCTACTCTGCCAAGTGACTCCAGGGACATTGTGGTCCCACGGGAGGAAGGAAACACATCAGAATCCCCGTGGGAGCTACACGGATTCCCAGCAGCTGCCCCAGGGACCTTAGACTGGCAGGTGAGGGGAGGGTGAGTCTAATGCTCAGCCAATGTCCCGGCGTGACCCACCCCCCAGGCTTCCATAAAGTCTCGCCTGCACGTTCAGGCGGCCCCTCCCCTGTTGGGCAGCGAGGCCGCAGGCTGAGCGCACATTTCCCAGCATCCCCTCCTCACCCCAGGCCTCACCTTTTGCCACAGCGACTCTCGGGAGGCGAGTGATGAGCAGGCGGCCACAAACCAGCAGTTGCCCACCTGGCCCTGGTGCAGGTCGTGGGAGCTGATGCCGTCCACAAAGAGGCGCGGGTCCTCGCAGATGTCCTGCGGAAAAGCCGAGAGGAGACCTCGCTGTCAGCATGGAGGCTCTCGCAGACTGGACCCAACGTGGCCAGTCGGTTTCCCCACGCCAGCCTCCCCCAGGCGCTGCCTGGAAGGCCCCTCTCCCTTCCCTTGCTGAAGAACTCTGCTCTTCTGCCAGAGATGCCACGGTGGACAGATATTATGGAAGGACTTCGGGGGCTGGACCCCGGCCACCACCTTCCTCTTGCCTCATGTCTTCCCTGATTAGCACACCTTTCCAGCACCAGCGGCCCAGCGACGCCCACCCCGGTTGGCCCTCAGGTGCCCAGTCATGAAGTGGGGTGAAGGAAGGTGCTGGGGGAACACACACCAAAAATACGTGTGGCAAGTGCAGAGGGTGGGAGAAGCAGGGAGCCAATGCACTGGGCTCGGTGTGGGCACCTCCTCAGGCTGTTTCAAGGACGCTCCCCCCTCCCCTTGAGAAGTGTGACACTGTCGATCTATTTTACGGATGAGGAATGAAGGTTCGGAGAGGGGCCGTGACTTGTCCAGGTCAGACAGCGAGCAAGTGCGGAACAGAGCTAAGCCGAAGCCCACAGAGCTCCTGGAGTGCTCACCCCAGGCCCGTCCTCCTCCCCATTGGCATCTTCACCCCACAGAGCTGAGAGGGAGGACACGATCCCCCAGAGGGGCAGGCTGCAGTGGGCGGTGGGGGGCGGGGTAATCTCTAAGACGCGGCTTCCCAGTGCCAGGCATCCTGCACTAGGGTCAGTCCGCACTGTGGTCCTCAGAGGTGGGCACTCCGCTCACTTTACAGACAAGCAAACTGAGGCCCAGGGAGGTGGGATAACATGGCCCACCACACAGCATGGGCCCGCCTCCACTTCAGCAGGGGCTCCAGAGCCAGTTCAATCCCAACAGAGGTGCTGAGGTCCTCCTGCAGGCGGCCAGCAGAGGGCTCCAGAGTCAGGAAGTCAGAGTTCAAGTTCCTGCACTCACTAATTTACTGGCTGTGCAACTTTGGGCCAGTGGCTCAGCCTCTCTGAGCCTGTTTCCTGATCTATGCAAAGGAGGTAGATTATTCTTCTCGAAGGGCTGTGAAGGGACTCCACAGGCGTGGAGGCACAGCACCTACAAGACAAAGTGGGGCAAAGGGCTATCCCTTCTCAGCAAGGTGTTTGGGACCCTACTGGCACCTCTGCCTGAGCAAACCCATGTGTTGGAGGCCCAGAATGAGGCCATAACTCCCTGAGGATATGAGTGGCTTTAGAGGGAACTTCAGAGCGACAAGTTCAGGGCCAAGCTGCAAGGCGGTTTCCCCATGTTGCATAGGTAGCTAGATATCAATGAAGGAAGAGAGCAAAGGGAATCAGACATTAAGCAGCATAATAAACTAGGGCATGAAACCTGCTTGCTTCCATAGGAAGTTACAGCTTCACACACTACCCAGAGAATCACTGGTCTGTTCCCTGCAGATCACTGGGGGAAGGGACAGAACAGGAAAAGGGGAGGTAAGTACGTGGGCAATAGGAGACAGGACAGGGACCTAGCGGCCTGTCAGTCTAGCCTGGGAAAAGGATCCAATTGGATAAGAGACACAACCCCGGAAGATCCAGGAAACGCACTGGTCAGGGGGTGGGCCCATGAGAAGCCCGTCAAAGCTTGGAAAGTTGATTGGTTATTTTGAAAAAGCACCTAGTCCATCCCAAGCCAGAGATAATCTGAGGAGACTAACAAAGACAAAGCCCTTCTCACCCCATGCACTTTCACGGGTCTTTCTCCATAGCAACCATGCTGGTCTAGCAGCTCCCTGGGGCTCAAAAGACTCAGCTTTGATGCTGTTATTGTAGGGGGTAAACTAGTTATTAATAAAAGGAAGAAAACAAAGGGAATGGGACACTGGGCCTGTTTAACCAGGAAGCTACAGCTTCACACGTCCCCCCTGGGAGTCCCCAGTCGGTCGAAGACCACTGGGAAAAGAGGACAGCCCCCCACAGACCACTGGGGGAAGGGAGGGACGTGTCAAGATGGGAGCTTGACCAAAGAGGCCCATCGGTCCACCTGGGAGAGGGGTTACTATTAGGGGCTGGACCTGTCAGAAGCCGCAAAAGCTTGGGAACTTGGTTATTTTGAAAAAGCTCCTGGTTATGACCTCAAGGAAGCAAAGAAGCTCTCTCTCTCGCCCTCACTCACCTGCACTCACCCCATTCATTCCTGCGTTCCTCCCCTGGCACCTGGGAATACTCACCACCACGTGGTCCAGCAGCCTGGTGGGCTGGCAGAGAGGACCGCCCAGGGACCGGAGGACTGAGCTTTACCACAGCACAGAAAACTCCGAACACTGGCCTTCGTTCTGGCCTCGCCAGAGACCAGGTTGGACTTTTCCCATGGCAGGACAGATGGAAATGCAACACAGGGGTGGCCATTCACCAGAATAAAACTCGCCACACCACAGTTTCCTGTGTGTGGGGCCATCAAATCTTTTCTTAACACTCCTGTGGAAGAGCATGATTTCCCCCAGCAACTTTATGGCGCAAATCTCTGGACACCGGCCTTTGTTTTGGCCTCAGTGAAGGTGAGGCTGGTCCAGGTGGTCTTTATCCACAGTGGGAAACGGGGGGCCTGAAAACCCAGGGACAGCCTTCTATTCTCACTCAAAATAAGTCTCGCCCTCCCCAGTCTGCCCTACGTGGGCCCCTGGAACGCTTTCCTCATGATCCTGAGAAAGAGCACAACCTCCACCAGCAAGACCTGGAGCACAGGCTGTAGAAACGCCGCCCCGGTCACAGGGCCCCAGGGAGGCAGCACCCGGAAGTCTTGCCTCTGTCCCCTCCTTCTCTTACCTCCCAGCCCCGCACTCTGAGCCACAGAGCCAGGGCTTAGCATCTGCCTCCCTGGGGTCCAGAAGGCCTGACAGGAGAAGGGGGAAGAGGGGTTTCATCTCTGGAGAGCCACAGCCCGCCACGGGAAGAGAGGGCTGCAGCCTGGTGTCCCCAGGGTCTGCAGCAGAGGTGGCCTCGAGGCACTCCTCTCGTCAGACCTTCCCAGCCATGGCCCCGAACAGAGACACAACTGCCCGTTCCGAGGAGGAGGACACCAGGGCCCAGGAGGAGACAATGACTCCCAAGGTCCTGTGCCAAGTAAGTGGACCGATGGGACAGAACCCAGGTCCTGCTGGGCTGCCCGGGGGTGGTAACCCCAGCAGAGCAGGTATGGAAAGCTCTGGCGGGCAGGGAGGCTCTGGGGGCAACGAGGATTCCAAATGCCCCCAAGGCACAATCGTGCCACAGCCCCAAGACAGCTCCCACCTTTGTCGCCACCCTCCCCCAGGCTCCTGGCCACCTGTCCTCCCTCTCATCACGGGGGCTCAGGCAGGAGCCCGGAAGGAGGGCAAAGCCACACGCAGGACTGGGCTGAGGGCACCTGCCGAGGGCCCTGGGTGTGGCCACTCTGGCTGCTCTGGTCAACACACCTCCCTCGGGGGCACAGCCTTCTGCACACCTGCGGCCACCTCTCCACCCCTCCCAGCAGGTTAGACCAGCTCCACCGGGCACAGGTCACTGCCCATAACCACCTCCCTCAGCAGCAACGAGAACTGCAGGTTTCCAGGCCCGGTTTCAAGCAGGAATGCAGCAGACAGCGGATCCAAGGCACCTTCCAGCCCTCCTCCCGCCCTCGCTCCCCCGGCATCCATCCACTTTCACCCCAGTCATCTCCTGCCTAGAATCTCAGGTCGCAGCAGGAATCAACCAGACACATGGGCAACAGGCTGAGGAAGGAAGCAGGACCTTTGCCTGGGATGGGAAACCAGGAAGTGTTCTCAAGGGTTACAGCTTGTTCCCACACCACCCCCGCAACGGACTGACCCCCCACCTCATGCTCCCCACGGCATCCTGTGAGTGGGTGCCATGAAGGGTCGTTCCTGGGCCGGGCGGAGGCCGGGCGGCTGGCCTTGGTGCAAACCGCCTGTTTTGCGGTATAAAGTGGCTACGGTTCAGCACAGCCAAGGAGGGAGCGGGGCCTTCCCCAGGTGCTGGCGATGACCACGGGCCCCAAGCTGGGGTCAGGGACCGGAAGGCCACCTTGGGAGGATTCTGGAAGGTTCCCAAACTAACAGCTGTTTGTAGGATCCCAGATGGTCCCCTTCCTGGCCCTGCCCACCAAGGGGCCTGCTGCAGCCTTACCTCCAGAGACGGGGGTGGGCTGGGGTGGGGGGAGACAGAGAGGGCTGGACAGAGGGCAGGGGCACTCTGACCCCTCAGGGATGAGCAGGGGCCCCGTGAAAGGCTCTGGACCCGGGAGAGAGGGAGCACACACACGCCCCTTCACTTCGGATTGCCCGAGTGACGCGCCTTGTCTGTGGTTCCCTTCTCTCCCTGGCCTGTGGGGGAGGCCAGAAGATGTTTACTGAGCTGGAAGGAACAAAGAACAAGGAACCTGTGGCGAGAGGAGGAGGAGGATGTGGGCTTCAGGCAGGTGCCCTGGGTGTGGATGCCATGGGTGGGGGCCCAACACGGGGTTGGCAGGCAGAGGAGAGAGGGGAGCCAGTTTGTCATCTGCCCACCATGTGTCTGAGGCCACAGGTGGCTCAAGTCATTTCAACCCCCAGAAACCAGGATCGGCGAGAATTATTCCCCCATTGACAGATGAGGCGACTGAAGCCCAGGGAGGGGAAGTGACTTGCTCATGGTCACAGCTCCCATGAAGCCAAGTTTATCTGGCTGAAAACCAGCCTCTTCATTCCATTTTGGAGAGGGGAAGGAGGAGGCCGACCGGCAGGAGGCTGGCCGAGGAGCTCCTCGGCGGACACAGGGGCCACGGTATCCACGGCGGCGCCAGGAGGAGCTGGGGGTGGGTGGGAGTGAAGAAGGGCCTCCCTGGGCGGTGGAGAAACTTGGCTTTTTGCTCTATTTGTACACAGGGCACAGGACCCAGGAAGTGGCACTCCACAGGAATGCAGGTGCCTCGGGCAGTTCCGCCTCACTGGCCGCCTCACTGGCCGAGGGGGAGCAGCTGGGGTTAAGGTCGCCCTGCTGGGCTGGCCTCGCCCCCGCATGAAGCAAGCCAGGCTTGACTTCCTGCTCCACCACCGCCCCCTCCCCATCCTATCTGTGGAGTGAGGGCCTGTGGGTCACACTGACCCTGCCACCACCCAGCAGGCACTGCTGGCACACTGACCGTCAGCCACACCCTGATCTGCACAGTCTCAACTCTGGGTCAGCTCCACTAAGCTGTGGCCTTGAGCTTCCTCCCCACCAGGAATGGACACCCCCCCCCCCCGGCCCCCCGGCCCCTCGGCCCAGCCCAGACGGCTCCCTCTCAACACCACCCACCAGCACGTGCCTCTGTCATCAGCCGGCGCATCTGGGGCAGAGGCAGCTCTGCTCCTTCTCTTTCAGTGTCTGGAGAGGACCAGGCACCAAGCCAGTGAGGACAGGAGAGACACGGAAGACAGTGTGGCAGGGAAGGAAAGAGGCTCCGAATGGGCAGGTGTCCTCCAGGGTCACAGGGCAGGAGGATGCTGAGCCCCGCGTTTCCCCTCTCGGGACACCAAGCTCACACTTCCCCAGCCAGGCCTCACCAGCCTCCTTCACAGCAACAAACCTAAAACATCCGGGTGATGGCAGGAGGGCAGGAAAGGGCCCGGAGCGGGCAGTGAGGGGGTAGGAGAGCTTGAGTGTCTCCCCCTCCTTCTCTGCCCGGGGCCTCACAAAGGCCCTTTGAGGCCGGCCTCCTCCCCCACCCACCAGACAAAGGAGAGAGGAAGGCGTGGGCCAGCGGGGTGGCCCAAGGGGCAGGAGGCGGCTGAGAGTTCAGGGCCAGAGGTTCTGGTGTGGCGCCTGGGGCTGCTGTCAGGGTGCAGAGCCCCTGCCCCCTCTCCCCCCCCCTGCCCTCCACCAGCTCTGTGCTCCGGTGGCACGACCATGCCCCAAACAAGCCTGGGGGCTCAGGCCTCCGCGTCTTCTTCGCGCTGTGCCTTCTGCCTGCCCGGCCCTTCCTGGCAAATGCGCTCTCCGATTATGGGACAGCGGGAGACTGCTCCCAGCCCCACGTGCTCCTGCACTGAAGTCCCTCCTGTGTGACCAGCTCTCACAGTGTCACCTGGGTGGGGACCTCCGGCAGCCTCCCCTTCCTCTAGGCCCCCACGGGCACCCACTGTCAGACTCAGGAATAGTCTAAAGAGGACTCAGGTTAAAGAGGATGAAATCAAGCCATGGGGCCAAACACTTCCGTTTTAGCCCCGAGGACCAAGGCCCGGCCGGCGGGCAGCGGGCCAGCTGCTGCGTCCCCCCCTGTTCTCAGCCGAGAAGTGAAGGCTGGCTGGGCTGAGCGCCGGGCACCCGGCCAGTCATCCCCACGTCATCTGTCACTGCTCCCAACAGCCCTGCGAGGTGCTATCATTTTTACTGCTATTATTATTTATTAATCAGAATAATAAGTACTTTTCATTTACAGCAAATGACTATTTCAAAATCATTATGAACATAATCAGCAAAGTAAATTCCCTGCACAGGAACGTCACTAAATGGGACTTAAATGTCACTCACACTTGAATTTCACTAACAAAAGGTCACATCCACATCACCTTATTTTTATGCCAAAAACAGGCTGCGAGAGGAGGGTGCCCAGGCAGAAGGGCCCCACTTTCCTTGTGAGGAAGCTGAGGCCAAGAGGGGTGAATCCTGGCTGAGCATTGCTGTCCAGGGGTCAAGGCCCATTCTCCTGGCGCCCATCCCCCACATCGAGGTCAAACCCCACAGCAGGAGGCCCAGCATCAGCACCCCCACTTTCTCAGCCACCCCACCAACCCTGCAGCCTGGGTGGGTGGGGGCCTGCTGGCCTCAGACCAGACACTGACCTTGGGCCGCTGCCACCGGACAGCAGGCCCCGGGGCGCCCTTGTAGTACAGCGAGTCGTCGGTGGCCGGGAAGCTGGGGTCCTCAAAGAGCACCTTCCTGCGCAGACAGGCCCGCTTCAGGGCCGAGTAGTTCTGGTCTCCATAGGGCTTCACGCACGAGAACATGGTGGGCACTGGCCAGGGAGGGGAGGCCAAGAGCAGCGAGCGGAGGGCTGGGTGGGTGTGTGGGCAGCTCCGGGGGCACCTGGGAGGCAAGAAGAGGGGACAGAAGACAAGAAGAACATCGCTTTCTAAGGGCTGAGGCCCCGAGTCAGGTGATCCCCACCCACTCCCTCCGCAGGCCTGTGAAGTGGGCATCCTCACTCCCACTGGCCAGGAGTGCGGCTCAGAGAGGGGGCGAGACCCGCCCGGGTGGCACAGCTGGTACACACAGGGCAGGAACAGGAGCCGCCCGCCTCCCCCCATAGCCCGAATCCTCTCGTTTCTGATGCTTGGAGGTGACAGCAGGCCAAGGGCACAAACACGTGGGGCTCTGGGGTTCCCAGGGGCACCCACCCCCCACTGCCCGAGACCTCCTCGGCTGCCACCACACCCGCAGGGGAGCAGCAGCACCGCCTCCAGGTCTCTCCCCTCCGGATGCCGCCCCTTGGTCCAGAGCAGCATGAGCTGCCCCATGTGGGCAAACCTCGCCCGGGCCCCGCAGCTGCCACTCACACTTGTTCTCTGGCCCCAGAACAGGAAACAGGACCATAAGCCCACAGAAGGCAGAGCCCACTTGGTCCAGGACCCTGCACACACACAGCCACTGGCACAGAGCCTGACCCGGCAAGTGGCTGAGGGTCACCCTCCTGTCAGCCCCCACGCGCCCCGGTGCCCTGACCCTTGCTGCCATGTGCCAACCAAACTCCAGGGACCAGACTGGGTGGACATGGCAAGGAAGGCCGGGGGCGGGTGAGGCGCGGCAGCCTGCGGGGCCTGACGCCTCAGACACCCCGACGGACGCCGGGCAGCCCCGTGTACGTCCCCGTACCTCCGACTCCGTCTGGGCGCACTCCCCTTGTCTGCTCAGCCTGGGGCCGGCCCAGGGCAGTTCCAACTTCCCAGCCCCTGCTGAGCGAAACCCAGGCAGGGTGGGCCGCCTTCTGGGGGAACCCCAGCTGGAGAGCAAGGCTGGTGTGGGGGACAGTCCCAGCTGTACTACTCACCTGATGTGTGACTCTGAACAAGTCACTCAGGCTGAGTCCCCATTCTATCACCTCCACAATGGGAACAGCAATTGCTTCAGTACTCCGATGACATTAAAATTAACCAAAGGCCAAAGAAATTGCTTGGTGGGCCAGAGGGAGCAGGAACAAGAGATGGGGACAAGTCACCCCTCACCTCCATTCCTCTGCGCCTGCCAGGTGCAGACTGACTAGCTAGAGGTTTGTGCACGGCATTTGCACACAGTGCTGCGTAGGCCTTGCACTGTTGCCATTCCTCAGACAAGAGAACTGAGGCTCAGGGGGGGGGGGGGTGACCCGTCCGTGTTCCGTGGAAGAGTCTGACTCAGCCACATCCTCTGACTTGGGTGCCTCCACCTTGGCCTGGTGACCCCACAATGCAGGAGGAAGGGCTGAGTGGCAGGCACACACACACCCTCCCACATGGCCCGCTGAGCCAGCCTCCGGGGAAGGGGAGAAGGAGACCCAGAGAGGAGGAGAAGCAGGAAGGAAAGGAGGTGAGAACGGGCAGTGAGTGTGGAACAGCACGGACAACAGGGAGGGCAGAAGGGGCCGCTGTCCCCGCCTGTCTGCTGACAGGCCAACGGCTGCTTTGTCCTCTGTGCTAGACCCACGGCCACTTCACCTTCTGCCCCCACGTCCTACAGGGCCTGCTTGCCCCCCTGCTGTGTGAGCTCAGGCCAGCCACTTAACCTCTCTGGCCATTCCTCTGTCCAGGAGGCCAATAACCCTGCTCCATCCCTCCCACCTTCCAGCCTTGGAGGCCTGAAGGAAGAGAAGGGGGGAGCCGGGGAGCCAGGCCCCTCGACTTCTGGCACACGGCCACCCAGGAGAGTCATTAGCACCAAGGCTTCCAGTTTCTGCAGGGCCTCTCAGGAAGCAATTTAAGCTGCAAGGATTAGATCAAAAAGCTGAAAGCAGGAGCCCAGAATCAGTTCTAGCAATTCCAGTGTTCAGAGCCCAAAGGGCCCAGGGTGGGGAGCGAGCTGGCTGAGGTCACCCAGCCAGGCTGCTGGAAAATGAGGGTTCTGGCAGCCCTCCAGGCTGCACAGCGGATGGCTGGCTGTGGGAAGGTCTGCTCCTGTGGAGGCAGAGGGAGACCGGGGTCTGAGAGGGGAGAGCTCCGCTGGGCCAGGGCCTGGGGAGAACCTGGGCCACGCGGGGCTGGGGTCTGACCCAGTTCAGCCATCCCTCCTACCTCACCCAAGCCAGCCGGCCTGACCCTGGCCTACCCGAGCTAGGCTCTTTGGCCTGGGCCTGTGCACAGGCTGCGCCTCCTGCTGTCTCCCCTCCTGCACCCTGCATTTGCCCCAGGGTCATTTCCCACTCCTCCTGCTGATTGAGCCAATACCTCCTGAGGTCACAAAGTCACCAGCCTCCTGGCTTTGCTCTCTCCCTGTAGTTCCAGGCAAAAGCACAGAAGGCCACGGACAAACCCAGAGTCAGGGAAGTCAGGTCTCCTCTGCCTGGCCCTGAGCTTGGAGCTTCAGGACCGCCAACTTCTGAAGGTTTTTCCTGTGTGTGTGAACCACGCACCCACAGGACAGTTTGAGCGCCCCAGCTGCCCTTCATCCCGCCCTCATCCCCCCGCCGGGCCAGTCTCAGCCACCCCCCGCCGCTCTCCAGCCAGGGCCTAGGTCCCTGCGCTGCGAGCTGCCTCCACTCCCTAGCGCTGTTCCTCAGGGCCGGGCCCGCACTGCCCTCCCACACCTGGAGAACCCCTGGTCAGCCGAGAGACTCAGCCCAAGCACCTCCCGCCCGCCCCCGACACTGCTCCTCCCCTCCGCCATCCTGGAACCCCTGTGACTCCGCCCATTAACTTCGTACCCCATCTTTGTGCGCCCGTCCCTCTCCCCAGCGCAGGGCCCCCTCCACTCCATGGGCCCCAGAGGCCAACACTGGCCGGGCCCGTGTAGTAAACTGGTGTTGAATGAACCAGCACAGGTGACACGGGAGGAATTCCTTCACGGATGGGAAAACAAGCACAGGGAGTGGCGGGGACCCTGGGGGGGATCGGCTTTCCAGATCAGGGCGGCGCCGGCTCTCAGGTCTCCTGAAGACCAGGGCCCGCCTCTCTCTTCGGCTCCGCCCCCGTCCCCTCCGATGGCTGGGTGCTGTGGGCTGCGGCCCAGCGGTCCCCTCCTCCTGAGAGCAGCCTGGCTGCAGTCCCCCCGGTGTCTCTGCAAGCCCTGCGGCCCAGCACGGGCCATGTCACCCCTCTGGGCTGCATGGCCCTCGTCTGGAAGGAAGAGATAATGTGCCAGGGCCTCTGGGAGGATCAAATGAGACAGTGTTGGCAGAACAGCACTCTGTCGCTTTAATGCGTGGTACCCTGGGGGATGTCCACACGGTTTCCAGACTCTGGCCAGGAGGGTCACAGAAATTCAGGGTTTCGGTCCCCAGCGAACCTCATGAATACAAGGCAAAATTGAAATTGTGTCATTTCAGAGGTTCCAGCCAGAGGGACACAAAGGCCTGGCCCCAGGAGTCAGATGTCCTTGAGGAGAGACAGCCCCTGAAGAGAGGCAGAGGGAACAGCAGCGCAGGGAAAGGCTCACAGCAGGCAAGCGCACAGCGACTCCGAGCCAGCCTGGCCTAGCGAGGTGGGCCCTGTGCACTGCCGCATGGGGAACGGAGCTGGCTCGGAGCCAGGGCTTGCCGGAGAGCTCAGAGAACCCAGTCTTCCAGCAGGTCCACCAGACCAGAGTTCAAGCCCCAGCTGCACCGCTTAGAGCTGTGTGTCCCTGGGTAAATCTCTCACCCTCTGAGCTGCTACCAAGCCCATCGGGTTCCAGCTTCTAAGGTGGCAAAGTAAGAAAGTGGCATCTGCCATGGGCCTGCCCTCCAGGAGCCTCTGTCCTTGCCTTAGAAATGGTGCGCACACTCTCCAGGAGGCTGTGGCCCGGCCGCTGTCCCCTGGACCTGCTGGCGGTGGTGCAGACAGGCTGGGCGAGGAAAGGGCTCACCTTGCAGCCCGGCCGTGCAGCGCTGCCGGCTACACCCGTGAGCCTTCTCTGGTCGTGGCAGCTGCCAACGCCAGGAAGAAACAGGACGGACAGTTTAACTCCCGTTCTGTAGAGGAGAAGGAACATCCAGGAATGTGTCCCGAGCCTGCGGCTTGTTGGTGGTCTCTGCCAGGCCGGCCACACCATGTCGAGGGTTCCTTTGAGATCATGCTGACAACCTACGCTGCCACGCACAGAGCTCAGGGCTCCTGAAAGCGCACCTTTCACAGGGGGCTGAACCGCAACTTACCAAAGATGGACTAGGAATAAACCCTGCAGGGACTGCCGGAAATGCTTCCCTGAGCATGGTCAGAACTGTGAATTATTCCTAGAGAGCCTGTTGGAAGTCGTTGATATTCGCTACTTGGAGGATAGGATTACCCTTCAGAGTAAATATTGGTGGTGTTGTAAAAGTAAAATCAGGGGTTCAAAGTGCTGTGACAACACCAACGGCTGATGAAGCCATGTCCCTCCTTGTGGTCCCCACGCTGTGTGTGGAGGCTAACGCGTCTGCCCCGAAGGTGCGCACCTCCCCCACAGAAGGCCTAGTCTCCTCGCGGCCTCACGGCACACCCAGCCAGCCCATCTGGAGTGAGTGGTGCATCCAACCGGTCTCATTACTGGAGGGTGCTTCTGATAATTCTATCTGAGAATCAGAACATCCAGAAAATGAAAACTTCCTGAATATTTCTATTTGTCATCAAGTTAAATTTTTTAAAGATTTTATTTATTTATCTTTAGAGGGGAAGAGAAGGAGAGAGGGAGAGAAATGTCAATGTATGGTTGCCTCTAGTGTGTCCCTTGCTGGGAACTGGCCTGCAACCCAGTCATGTGCCCTCATTGGTAATCGGATGGCGATCCTCTGGTTCACAGGCCCACACTCAATTCACTGAGGTATACCAGCCAGGGTTTTCCAAGTTAAAATTTTAAAAGGATTGAGGATCATATGTGGCAGTTTGCTGGACAGCACCTGACTCAAAAAAAGTTGAATTCTGCCCTGGCTGCTGTAGCTCAGTGGGTTGAGTACAGGCTTCAAACCAAAGGGTTGCTGGTTCAATTCCCAGTCAGCACACATGCCTGGGTTATGGGCCAGGTCCCCAGTAGGGGGCGTGTGAGAGGCAACCACACATTGATGTTCTCCGCCTCTCTTTCTCCCTCCCTTCCCTTCTCTCTAAAAATAAAATATTTTAAAAAATAGTTGAATTTTTAATTCAGTATCATTTATGATAAAGGATATAGACATATCAGTGAGTAGTTAACTGTCTTAACTTTTGTTTTTAACCCTCACCCGAGGATATTATTGATTTGAGAGAGAGAGGCAAGGAGATCGAGAAAGAACATCCATCAGTTGCCTCCTGCACACGCTCCAAGCGGGGGTCAAACCGCAGCCTTTTGGTGTGTGTGTTTTGGCGCGGGGCGGCGACGCTCCAACCCACTAGGCCGTCTGGCCAAGGCTGTCTTTGTATCATGCTGGGTTTCTTTCTTTATTTTTTTTTAAGTTTCAAGGTTCGTGTGTTCATATCAATTTTAATTTAATATCAAAGAGCAGAGCCAAAAATCAAAATTTTTTATTTAGCCCTTATGTGGAAATTGACACCCCATACCAAAGATTTTAATAGTGATCTTATAGAATCCAATACTTGGTAAGAATTGAGAATAAAGTAGAAGCATCCTTTGTCGAATTATGCATTCCTTTGCCAGTCTCTTTTAATACAGCCTTTAAAACAGGACTTCTCAAGAAAACTGCCCTTGTTTTTTTTAGGGTACTATTTCTAAATAGCATTCGGGAAGAGGGTATTATAAAGACCTGATGCTCCCAGCACAGCTCATCGAAACGCTGGCCAATTAAATGCAGGCCCAACATTTAAGGAAGTGTTAGGATGGTTCAAGTGAATGAGAAGCCAGGAGAGGGAAGGCGGGGAAGCCCAGATGACCAGGCTTCTAGGAAGGAGGAAAAGAAACAGAGTAACAGCAAAGCGGACAGAAAGCCGTAGCAAAGCGTCACAGGAAAAGCCAGCGGGATAGGCGAAAGGGCAGAGGCTGAGCTGGGAGGCCGAAGGGGACCCGACATCGTTTTGCCAGAGGGAGCAGGGGGTGACTGGAGAAAGCAACAGGCAGAGTTTGAAATTCCCTTCATGGGAGTCTAATGAATGATATGTACAAGGGTTATCATGGACCCCTATGGAGGAAATCAGTGTCTATGCAAATCTTTAAATATGAAATGAGGACTCATCGTGATTGAGAACCGGGGCTCGATTTGCCGTGTCCTGGTTGGTGAGCTCTCTGGAGGCTGGCCTGTGTCTGCCTTGCTCTTTCAGACCCCAACATGGAGTAGGTGTTCT